AATGGCTGGGCGGAGGTTGGTCCGACGGGCGGGGCCTCGAGGAAGTCGCAGCGTGGCTCCCGCCCACATCTCGGCCGCGCCCCTATGAGTCCTGGGCTCACGGCCCGCCCAGCTTTCCCCTCCTTCGCTGGGAGCTGAGGCGCGGGTTCCACTCTTGCAGAGCCCAGGGCTGAGGGCGGTTTAAGATGTTTTTGCCCTTAACATACTTGACTTCCTCCGGCTCACCCACCCACCCTGGATCTTTCGAAACGTAGTGTTCTGAATGTCCTGGGATTCCCCCTCTATTCCCCGTCATCCCGAACTTGGGGCGTTGTGGGTGGGAGGGAGCAGCACTAAAGGGCTAAAGAGAGCAGAGTGAAAGTGGGGTGCGGAGAGCAGCCGCCCCCGGACTCGCGCGCGGAAGCAGAGCGCCCGCCTTCGGGCTCCCGGGTAGTCTCTCCCCGGTGTGGCCGCGCACCCCACCCCCGAACCCCTGCTGGCCTTTTCCTCTTCCTTTTCCGCCCCGTGTTTCCTAGTCCCCCCTCGCCGGCCCGGGTTGTTCTGAAAGCGCAGATGTGAGAGAGCAGAATTAGAACGGTACATGAATTATATTGGGGTGAATCATTGAAAGCAGATGCGAATGGCGTGGGTTTTTTTCTTACATATTTTAAACATTCCAAGTCGTTCTGCAGTCCAGACTCCGTGTGAGGATGGTTCTTTCTAGTTCCACAATAACCAGCTAATGAAATCCTTGGTTGCCAAAGTATGCTGTTTGGGAACAATTCGGGCAAGATCCATGGTTGAAGGTGGCCTTGAAGAAGGCTTCCTCCTTCCTTCTTTTGATTTGAAAAGTCCACCCCAGATCATATTTGAGGTGAAAGAACAGGGAATGAGAGTGAAAAACCCCAGGTACTAGGCTCCAAGTTATCAGTATTGTGATGACCTTGGTTTGTCCCCACATGGTTGCAGTTCTATAATCTGAAAAAGGGAGGAGAAGTGATCTCCAAGGCGGGTTTCACCTTTGAAATTTTGTTAACCAGCGATTTTCTAGAATACTGGTACTATGGTTGGGGTGAGGAGTGGGGGTGTGCAGCTTAAAGAACAGACATAAATCCATGCAAGACCTCTTGTTATAGGTCAGCTTCTCGCAAAGGGTATATTTCCTTTTGGTAAGCCATTACATTTATAGGTAAAGAAACACATACATTTCAGGATAGAATAAAAAGCCATTGGTGCTGTTTAGTGCCTCATATCAACTTGAGCCAAAGGTAACCCTGAAAGTGGGTCTGCATAATTAAGGCATATGAATATGCCTAACGTCTTGTCTCTAGAACTTCCAGAAAAACCATGTCTAATTTTAGGGTTGGCACCAGCTCCTTTCTCAGTTCACAGCCCTAGTCTCAGCAGGTGGGCATACATTATGTTCACATACATGTGCACATCTGGTGTGTGCCGGGCCCTGCGCTCTGTGTTCTTGCTGTGGCAACAGGCAAAACATTGAGCCAGCTGATTCCCTAACTCTCTCTACCAATCTATCAAAGTGGACTCTCCAGAAGCTCCTATCTGCAAAAACATTCTTTTGAAATTATTTGTAAGAGCAATTGCCAGGGCTACTAGGAAATTCCACTTCTATCTTCTTGGTCAGAAAAAAAAAATCCAGTTATGTTAGAATAGATTGGTCTAGCAATACATCTCTCTCATAAATGTGGTCTGTCATTTTTTATATCTTCAACTAAAACCTTTAATTAAAATATGAATGTAAATGTATAGCTTTTTATTTTTATTAAATATACTTTATTGGTTTTTTACAGAGAGGAAGGAAGAGGGATAGAGAGTTAGAAACATCAATCAGCTGCCTCCTGCCCACCCCCCACTGGGGATTTGCTCTCAACCAAGGTACATGCCCTTGACTGGAATTGAACCTGGGACCCCTCAGTCTGCAGGCCGACGCTCTATCCACTGAGCCAAACCAGTTAGGGCTAGCTTTTTATTTTTAAAAAATACTTTTATTGATTTCAGAAAGGAAGGGAGAGGTAGAGAGAGATGGAAACATCAATGATGAGAGAGAATCATTGATTGGCTGCCTTCTGCAGGCACCACACTGGGGATCTAGCCCCTAATCTGGGCATATGCCCTGACCAGGAATAGAACTGTGACCTCCTGGTTCATAGGTCAATGCTCAACCACTGAGCCACACCAGCTGGATAAATGTATAGCTTTTTAAATTTAAAATGATAACAACTATACCATTTTAAAACAATGATATGCATTTGGAGGAGGATGAAATTTGTGTGGAGCTATGTTGGTAAGGGTCCTAACAAAGCTCTACTTTCAGAAGCCTGCGTCTCCCTTTGCATCTGTTACTTGGTAAGGTGATTTTTCACTCTTTGATCACTGCTTCAAAATTAGTTGAAATTTCAAGGCCTTAAAGAAACCTGATTTTAATGCAGACATTTGAATTCTGGGAGCAAATGCTATCTTTGAAATGTATGAATGTGATTAACTTTCTATTTAAAAATAAATATTTTATTCAAAAATTAACATTTTATTATGAAATATACACAGAGAACAATGCACACAGCTTATTGATTTATCACGAAGTGAATACTGATGTAGTTCCTACTCACATTGAGACAGAACAGAAATGACAACTAAATGCAGCCTGTGTTCCTAGATAAGATTCTAAACCAAAAGACTGGAGAAATTGTTGGGACAGTTAGTAAAATCTGAATGGAGTCTGTGAATTAACATTAGTTTGTACCAATGTGATTTCCTGATTGGAGAGTTGCATGCTGATTATAGAGGAGGATGTCCTTGTTTGGGAGCAAACACAACAGAGTGTTTAGGGGCAATGAGACATATCTACAGCTTCTCTCAAAAGATTCCAAAAAGGAATAGTGATAATGGGAATAAAGAGACAGCATGGAACAAACAGTAAAATGCTTATAATTGGGGAATCCCTGGGTGAAAGGTATAGGAGTTCTTTGCACTGTTCTGGCAATTTTTCTTTGAGTTTGAAGTTATTTCAAAATAATTATTTTTAAAAAAATCTACTCAATGTCCAAAACAAAGCTTTGAAATATTTAGTGAAATATTTAGATGAATGTTTCTAAACCTTGAATAAGCATAGAAAGCATGAACTGGAAATAATAAATTTGATCATAATAATTGAAAGACATTTTGTTCAGACAATAACAGCTTAAAGAAAATGAAAGAGCACATTACAAACTCTCCCAAAAATCTGTAGTAAAAGTCAGTAGCAAGAACTAAAGAACTCCTCAAACCAATATTTTTAAAGCATGTACTCATGTGTGTGCATACACACACACACACACACACACACACACGCGGGTGCCCTAAAACAAAACTGGGGGGAAAAACACAATAAAGCTTTCCTAAAAAAAGAAAAAAGTGTATTACTTTATTCCAGGAATGCAAAAAAAACTGGCTTAACA